ACAGGCTGATTACTCTTTCGATCCTTTTTTCCTTGATTACTTCCTTTCCCTCGAGGAACCGGTCCTCGCTTCTTTAGATGCTTTTGATGGTACTCACGTACTAGTGACTTGCTGTTCGTTAGGTTTCCTTTAGGTTCCTAAGTGTTGTGGCTTTCTGGCTATCCTTTCCACTTAACTAAGTACTTCTACTGACCTCTAAACTTATGTAGGTCTTTGATTTCTTCGACTTCGTACTCGTCGTCCTCGAGCTCTATATCCATTGCTAGCTCGGCATCTAGAGGTGCTGGTTCCAGGAGTTTCTTGTGAAAGACGGGGTAGATTCGCATGCCTTGTGGGAGTTTTAGCTTGTAATTTACTTTCCTGATTTCCTCTAGGATTTCGAATAGTCCTACTCAGAGGTTGTCTAATTTTTTGTATAGTCGTTTAGTTTTTAGGTTTTGTCTTAACAAGAAAACTTTGTCCCCCTTCTTAAAGGTTAGTCCCTTAATCCTTTGCTTATTCGCAGCTCGTGCTGTCGTGAGGTTCTGTTAAGCGATACTCTTGCTTAATTCTACATGCAATTCCTGCATTAGACGTGCTTTATCGTTAGCTCCTACTGCGATACTTTCGATATCTTTTAGGTCCTAATAAGCGACCGGCTTATACCCGTAATTCGCATAGTGTGGCGACTTCTTTATTGTGGCTGACTTTGAGCTATTATAGGCCAATTAAGCAGTCAGCAGGAGTTTAACCTACATAGTTGTCCTGCAGCTTGTTGGCGTACATCCTTAGGTACTGCTCCAAAGTCTAGTTCGTTCGTTCCGTCTGGCCGTCTGTTTCAGGGTGAAAGCTAGTCGATAGCTTCTTTTTCGTTCCCAATCTTGCTAGGAATGTGTCCTAATACTTAGACGTAAACAGCTTATCTCTGTCTGTTATGAATTCTTCGGGCATCCTGTGCTCCGATACTAGTGCCTTTGTAACTTCGTACGCGCATTCATCTGCCGTAATAGCCTCTTTCGTTGGCACAAACTTCGCTGCTTTGGTCAATCGGTCCACGATTACTAGTATTGTATCGCAAAGTTGGTTGGATCTAGGTTCTAATAATTCTAGGAGCTTTACTATGAAGTCCATCGTAACACTAGTCTATGGTCGTGTTGGTAGTTGTAAGGGCTACAACAGGCCATAGAGCTTATGTCTTTTAGGCTTATTGCAATAGCAGGCTAAACAGTTGCCTAGGGTATCCTACACCTTCGCTCGCAAGCGTGGTATAGCAAACACCTTTGCTAGTCTTCTAACTATTTCTTCTATTCCTGCATGTCCATACTCTAGGGACTTGTGCAGTTCTTTAATAAGACTTAATCTCATATGTAGAGGTACATATGTTTAATCCTTCGAAATCATATCTTGGTACTCTCTTTCATCTTGTAACAGTTCATCAGAGCCTTCAGGCTCGAACTGCCAGCTGGCTGCTCTCTGCTGCCACTACTGTTGTAGGGTTTCCACCTGCGCGGCCACCTTGGCTATCTTAGCCAGTTCCAGCTGGTTGTATCTCAAGCTGCCGTCGGGCATCTGCTTAAATACTGCATCGTGTGGTTCTTTGTGATCATCTTCTCGTAGGTCCAACCTACAACTTAGAGCATCCGCTGCCCTGTTGAGCGATCCTGCTTAGTAGGTGATCTTGAAGTTAAACTAAGCTAACATCTTAGCCTATTAGACTTGTCGTTAGTTAAGTTTCTTAGTCGTTATAAAACTTGTTAAATTCTAGTGATCAGAAAACACTTCGATCGTGTGGGGCAAGCCTAACAAGTGCACCTCCTACTATTTAAAGGCATTAACTACTCCTAGTAGTTCCTTATTGTGAACATTGTAATTTAGTTCTACTCCTAAGAACTTCCGTAAATGGTAGAACACTAGTCTCTATTTCTTGTCTAGGCACTACTGTAATAATATAGCTCCAAGTGCATAATCTAACGCGTCGGTCTCGACTCGCGTTTCTCGTTTCGGGTCGTACATCTCTAGTACAGGCGCCTCCAAGAATGCCTGCTTGAGCGTTTCAAACGCTTCCTAGCAGTCTTAAGTCTATTTAAACCCTACTTCTTTCTTCGTAATCTCTATAAGAGGGGTCGCAATCTAGAAGTAGTTCCTAATAAACTTCTAGTAAAAGTTCACAAATCCTAGGAAGGATTGCACGTCCTTAACTGTCTTAGAGGTTAGTCATTCCTATACAGTCTAGATCTTCTTTAGATTTATCTTAACACCCTCTATTAAGATAATAAAGCCTAGGTACTTAGTTTCCTTTGTATAGAATTCGCACTTGCTAGCCTATAAGTACAACTTATACTCCTTAAGCTTCTATAGTACCTTCTTAACATGTTTAACGTGTTCTTCTAGCGTACCGTTGGTGTATACTAATACATCGTCTAGGTAGGCCGTAACGAAGATTCCTAAATACTCGTGGAGTGCCTTGTTGATGACTAACTAGAAGGTTGCTAGCGCGTTCGTTAATCTAAACGGCATAACTGTATACTCGTACAGTCCATATTTTGTTTTAAAGGCCGTCTTCCACTTGTGTCCTTCTTTGATTCTGATCTAGTAGAATCCTTCGCGGACGTTGAACTTCGTAAACCACTTAGCTCTCTAGAGTTGATCTATAAGCTCTCCTATAAGTGGTAAGGGATACTAATTTTTGACCGTAACGTTGTTCAACCGTTGGTAGTCGACACACAGTCGCCACTTCCTGTTTGGCTTCTTTACGAATAGAATTAGAGAGGCTATCGGGCCATGTCCTAGTCTAATAAATCCCTTTTTTAAATTCTTTTAGAGGTACTCCCGTAGCTTAGCGTCATGCTCAGGCGATATAGGGTACATTCCTCTTAGGCTTAACTTAGCTCTATCTTTGAGGACGATCTCGTGATCCTAGTCCTAATATTCTGCTAAGTCTGTTGCTTTATTTTCCTCGAATAGTTCTCTAAACTTGTTCGTTTAGTATTCTATTAGTATCGCTAACTATGGTACTAGTCCTTCCTTCGTAGTCGCGACCTATTTTAACTAAATGACTTCTATTCTCTAAGGGTCCTTCACATAGATTCTCGCGATCTTATGTGGTGAGATCGTACCTATCCTCCCGTCCTTGGGTGAGCTCTGGATAACCAGGTTCGTCTCTTTTTGTACTCCAGCAACCTTGTGCACAGGTTCTCTTCTAAGTATCGTTTAGTTCCGCCAATTAATAGCTAGATTGTGCTTCGACAACTAGTTGTAGCCTATTAACATGTCTTCTTCTCCAAGATCCATTATGTTAATTATCTCTTAACTTTCCGTCCCTGCCAAATCTATTGGCACTAGCTTAGTCTCTAGTCTTATCATGCCGTTCCCGTACGCGATTGGGCTATCATCGGCTAATACCGCTCGCATTAGCACCTTCTTAGTCCGATAGGGTATTTCATGCATCTCCACCACCCTAGGTGAGATCATGGTTCGTGCAGCACCGCTGTCTATGGTCGCTGTCACGCGATGTCCGTTCACGAGGACTATCGCTTGGAGTCTAAGATCCTGCGTCCCTACGCTCTTAACTCCTATATAGGTCGTTTTTAGACTGCCTTTACTAGCGTGACCCTGTCCCTAGTGGCATCCTAGTTTTTTAACTGCTTTCCCTTCCCCTTAGGGAAATACCTATAGTCTATCTTAGCGTCGTAGTGTGCTTAGCATGCATAGTCGTAACAAAAGGACTAATGCATAAACTCGTGGGGAACTGGTCCCGCTGTCGCGGCTGATATGGCTTGCATCCGAGTCGTCGTTACTCTTGGCGTCTCCTGGCGATGCATGCGACAGTTCTTTGCCGTGCATTCTTGCGCTGTTATCGTGCTGTGGTAGAAGTCGTCTACCTTCCTAGCGTTTCGTTGTTGCTTCTTGTAGTAGTCGCAATTGTCCTTGCACTAGAACTAGTATAGTTCCTAATGTGCTTGCTATTTCTCTCGTTCGTGTATGTGGCATCTATCTACTTAACACTTATTGTACCACAAGTGCGTATAGCAGCAATCGTCCTTATTGTCCCTAGTACTTTCGCGTTTCCGCAGGTGATAGTCGCACTACTTCTTATAGTCGACCTAATGCAGGCGTTTGTGTTATTCCATTTGTTGCTTGAACGTGCAAGTACTCCTTTCCTCGACTTCTGCTTTAGGGTCTCTGAAGCTAGGTTGCTTGTGAACCGCTTAATATCCAATCTCTTTAGAGTTAGGTCCTGTGATAATGATTTGTTCTTTAAGAGCGCAATTATCGGCCTGGTGTGTGGCGTCTCCGCACATCTAGCACAGTTGGTTTCTTAGGCGGCGTTGTACCTCTACCCCTTCAACCCTGTGATCCGTTGGTAGTAGGTCATCCCACTTGAAGTCTTTCAGTCCTATGGCCTCTTGTACTATCTTAAAGGCCTTGTCTAACTCTTGTCGTGCCTCCTTGTACAAGTTTATGTCGCTTAGCGTGTCGTTGGGTTCTATATCCCGTGGGTAAGGTGTTCCGCACCTAATTATCCTAATCTTGACTTAACCTTGCTTGACTTCGTCTGTGCAGTCTCTAGCAAAGTGTCCTTGTTTGCCGCATTAGAGACATGCTTTATTGTTGTAACGCTTCTAGCGTTCTTCCTTAGAAAGGCCATCCTAGCGATTTCCTTAGGCGTTTTAGTTCCTGTTTTCTTGCACCTTGCCTGTTATGATAGTGTCGCCATCCTTGTCTTTACTGTGACGTTGCTTCCTTGTGTTAGCCTGGGTAGGCTGGAATGAGCGTTTCCTCTGCTCGTATCGTTCCCACAGCCTATGGTCGATTCGCGTGGCTAGCTCTATTAGAGCATGAAGCGTTTCTAGCTTCTTATGGTGTACAAGACCGTCTTTTACATTTTCCTTTAGACCTGCCTTAAACACAGTTCACAGCGTAGCATTATCCTAATTAATTCTTGCCTGTAGCTGTTTAAACTTTGCTGTGTATGCTAAGACTGACTTAGTCTGCTTCAAGCAAGTGATTGCTTTCTCCACTTAGTTCTTTTCGTCTACTTCCCCAAAGATTCGTCCTATCTCCTTCTTGAAGTTGTCCCAGTTTCCGAATATCCCTTGGGTTTCGTTCTTGGTTCCTAGGTTGTCTGCGTCCTTCAGGAAGTCCTTGACATAGGGTTCCATCCACTTAGCTGCCCTGCCCTTCATGTAGGTGCTTGTCACAAGGATCTTATCCTAGTCTGTTAGTACTCTATTGTACTCGCAGTACAAGTTAATATTGGTAAGGAATGTCCATAGTTTAGTGTAGGTTCCATCGAACTTCTTAGGTGCCGCTATCTTAGGCTTCATGACAGACTTCTTCTTGTTTAGGGTGGCCATTAGCTGACTTAAGAGCTGATTAATCATATCCTGCATGCTAGCCATCTGCTGCTGCGTGATCGTGGCCTGTCGCCTAAGATTCCGCAACTCTCGTAAGTTTCGTGCGTCTTCGTCGTCTTCATCGTCACTCGGGGTCAGCATCTCATCGTCGATTGCTGGAGCTAGCACGGGTCCAGGACGCTGTACTAGTCCACTAGCACTGGCCTGAGATTGAGAGTAATTATGAGACATCCTGAATCTTAATTGGGCGTACTGTTGGTTAATCCTTCCACAAGAACTCAGTGGTGGTCAAAGTGTTACACGGGGGTCGGCTATACTTCTCTGGTCTCGGTCTGGGTTAGGGCGAGTAGACTTAAAGCGGTAGTCCGTGAGATTGTTTGGCGAGTGACCGGTGGAAAAGAGTTATAGGATTTAACCAAAAAGTAAACAATTAATTCTATACTAAGATAGAATAACAAGTATCAATCTATATAAGAGATAAACTATTCTAAGTTAACCACAACAAGTGTAATAATAAAATCCAACACATTCTTATACCTATTGCTTCAGGTCCTATCCTCTTGTGCCTCCCGCCAAGATGGGAGGTTAAGGAGGACCATGGCCTCCCAATCTGCGCTGGCCTCCCGGAGGCCACGCCTTGGCGGGATGCCAAGTCACGTGATCTGCGCGCCCCGCGCTGATCATCACCCAGGCGTCCTTTGACGCCTTTGTTTCCCTCAGGTTGTCTCCGCAACCTTTCCTGGAAACCTGTTGAGAGGAATCCTTCCTGTTTGTTCGTAACAAACGCATCTTGAAAGCCTTAGAGGTGTTAATAATAGTAGTATTGATTTTGAAAGTCTTAAATAGCTATAGCTATTAGTATAGAAGTAAACTTATCTTAAGATAATTACTTAAATGCTTAGTTATTTTAAGATAGCTACTATAGCTCTAAGTAAAGGCTAAAAGTCTTAGATTTTATATATCTAGTTGATATATAATTAGCTATTTAATTTTCTAGATTAGATAATGTTAGATCTTAGAGAAGACTTAGAAAACTGAGAGAATACTAAGTAGCTATAGGTAGTCTAGGCTACTACTGCTACTAGTAGGTTAAAACCAAGTAAATGTAAGGGGCTGCGCTCCGGGGAGCAATCGCGAGGTATACAAGAGGTTGTATTCGATAAGGAGCTATCTACTCTGCTTACGTGGTGTTTATTTACTTATCAGAGAAAGGTTATGCCGGAGTATCTAAGCGCGTTGTCTGAGCGCTGCTCGGTCTGAACGTAGTTCAGATGGTGCGCGCGCAGCTTGGCCCGAGATTCCATCGAGGAGCTATCCAAAGGGCGTTCAGCCCGTTACAATACCCCCCTCCTTAGGGGATACCGCATCGCCTCTCCGAAACCCCTCTGGGAGGCGGCCCTCGCTGTCTCGTTTGGCCTCCGTGAATGCTTCCCAACGATCTACTGCCTCAGCGTCCTCTAGCAGCTCAGCTGGTTCGAGCGTCGTTCGGTGGTAACCCTTTCCATTTCACCTCGTAGTATAGCTTACGCCCTCTCCCACGGCGCGTACCTCTTC